CTGGATGGACATCAATACACCGATACATCTTTTCGATGTCTGAAATAACTACATATTTATGAAACCGAAACCTTAACAATATTGCAAAAATATCATTTTGAATAGCTGGTCCTGCGTACTGAATAGAATTAAGAGACTTACCAGTTGTTGTATTAGCAGAACCATTGAAAACAACCCTTAATCGTGTACTAAGGCTTTCATTGCGGAGCACCCCGTGATGAGGTAGAAAATATGAACAAATGTTGTCATCGAAATATGTGTCAATTGACATATGGTTAAGTGCCTGGTATTCTTGCATAAATGAAACATAAAGATTCTTTAATTGAAGATCTTTTTCAAATTGTCTTTCAAGATTTAGAAATCTCCTCACAGCTAAGTCTTTTGAATCTCCTAACTGTTCTCTACTTTCTTTTAATGGAATCTTGACAATAAATTTACCAGTTGAATCTTTAGAATATGTATTCTTGAAATGTTCTTCACATATGTTGTCCTCTTGAGAAATTAACTTTGTATTTGAAACTTCTTCTATTGACCAAAATTTTTCAAGATCCTTCTGTACTTGATCATTCTGTACAAAAAAACATTGGACCTTATCGACATTTTGTGACCACAACCCGGCAACTACATAACCAAAACATGTGTTTTGTAAGACAGGAAGATTTTTACCCAGAGAAATTTTTCCATTTCGAAGTATATCCCAGAATAAATCGGAACCAATAAGCATATCAACTGATTGTGATCTATGAAACGAAGGATCTGCCAAAGAAATGTTTTTAGGAATATTTAATTTAGAACCTTCAATGTTATAAATAGGTAAATTTTCTGTAATTTTAGGTAGGACAAAACATGTTAAATTGAAGATATCTGAATCATAAGTAGATCCAATAGAAACATTGCATTTATAACGTAGGGTGGAAGTGACACGATTGATCCCCACAATTGAAAGATTTGCATCTATTTGCTTTAGGTTAAGTTTTTTGCATAATTTTTCTGTTAGAAATGAAGTCTGGCTACCACTGTCAAGAACAGTTCTTACCTGATGAACTTGACCATTATCATCCCATATATTAATGATGGCAGTAGACAGTAAAACATATGTATTATTAGTTTTTGAGAAATTAGACACAGCTAGCTCTGTCGCGTTATTTGATTCATGACAATTGGTGCCATTATTTGTTACTTGTAATGACTGAGCTTGAGCTGCTCGCATATTTGAATTTGTAATGTGATTAATTGAATAAGTTCCTTGATCCTGATAATGATGCAACAGGGTATTATGTTTACCTTTACAAACTTTACAGTACCCATGACTGCAATCTTTACTAAAATGTCCCTTGCATAGGCAATTTGTGCATAATTTCATACCTTTAATCCTTGTCCATCTTTGAGAAACACTTAATTGTAAAAATTGAGGACAATAGTAAATAAGATGATCACTTTGACATAAATGACATATTTTCTTTGCATTAGAAAGATTATTTGACACTAAAGATACATGTTTTTTAAATGGTTTTCTCTGTTGAGAACTTTGTTGAACTTGAGAGTTGACATTTATTCCCCTCTCTTCAAGCTTTTCTAATTGATTTGCTTTGTTATCTAGAAATTTAAATAAATCATTGACTTCTGGTAAAGTATCTTTATCGTATTTTTGCTCCCATTCTTTTAAAGTAACTTTGTCTAATTTGTCTGAAATAATATGAATCAACATAGCACTAGATAATGGATTTTCATAAGACAAGTTTAAATTCTTTAAAACAAGCAAATGTTGATTAACTGTATCTACTAATTCTCTTACAGCACTAGCACTTTCTTGTGTGACTGATTTTAAATTAAATAACGATTTAATATGACTATTGACAAGCAAATGAGGATTGTCAAACCGTTTGCATAAAGCCTGCCATGCTAAAATATAATTTTGTTTAGAAAATTCTAAATGCTTAACAATTTGTTGCACTTCTGTGCCTAAAGAAGTTCGTAAGTAATGGAATTTTTGAATGTCATTCAATGAAGAGTTTTGATGAACTAATAACTCAAATGTTTCTTTAAATTCTATCCATTTGCAAAACTCTCCATTAAAGGAAGGAATTGTGACTGGAGGAAGCTTGACAAATTCTACTTTATTTTCAAATAACTCGCTGTGAGTTGTATTATTTGTTTCAGAACTAATTATAACATTTAATTTGGATACCAAACATAAAGCACTTGCTGTGTAAGTTGCATGGTCGTTTGTAAAGTTAATTCGTTCAGCATATTCATTTTCTAATTGATCATCATCACATTCTTGTTCAATGTCGGTTTGTAAATCATTAAACTCATCATATAATGAACCTAATTTTGCAGATCTTTGTTGTAAATCAAAAATGATTGTCTGTTCTATATGTTCACTATCATCGTATAGTTTTTGAATTTTGTTGAAAAATGAAATAAAACATGTCAATTGCTGTTTAATCGAACCTCGTTTACGTCTTAGTTTTTTAAGATCAGCCATTATGTAAAATAAATTGAAATAAAATCTACTGTGAGATTTCTAACATTAAATGCATAAATGAAAACATAAATTTCACACTTTCAAAGTAATAAAAAACTTGTTTTTACGTTAAAATGAACGTGCATACATATATTGTAAAGCTTTTAATAAACACTTGCAATCATTAAATAAAAAAGCTTTAATAAAACAATGAAAAGAACCAAGTTTTTAAATTACTTATTAGTCCGTAATGAAAATAATAATTAATTTTTTGAATCCTGCATAAATATTTTAAAATCGGATATGTTAAACTAATCGGCAACGCTGTATAAATATACTTGATATGAACTGAGATTTTAACCGTATGGAAAACCGGTTAAACAATAAATTTCGGCTACGGGTAGGGTTTTAGATAGGTAAAGAAACACGTTTTGTAAATTTATGAGGTTAGGAAATTGAATAATGAAATAGGACTCACTTGTTTTTGCATCAAAATTATTGTAATCTTCTTTCCATCTGGATCGTATGGACCAAACTTTATGTAGAAATGAATTGCATACGTTATACACTTTTTATTTACTGAACTATAATAAAATTAACATTTGAAACATTAAATAAACTGAAATGAAAATGGACTGTATAATTTTCGAACTGGCTTGTTCGATGGTCGCTAGCTAAGAGAGAGAGGGCGACTTGTTAAAGCCGACTCCGCATGGTCGGCCGGAACACCACGTTGCCACGTTGATTCAAGTTTTCACCAAACGTAGTTCCTCTAACACCACCATGATAAAGTTTTTCCAACCATATTGGACGATTTACAGTTTCAAAAGCTCGTGCTAAGTCAAAAAACAAACAGATAACTTTATTACCCTTATCAAAGTTCGATAAAATATACACAGCGCTAGTAATATTTTGTACCGGTCTTCTCGAATAATATTCCCTAGATATTAAATATTTCTTAATATAATAGTTTTTTAATAATATACGAGTGGCATTTGCCGCTCAATATTATTTTGTCGAGATCTCCTTTCAGAGTCGAGATCTCCATGCTGTGTTACAACAGTGAGAAAATATAGCATTTGATCATTCTTTAACTTAATTTTAGGTTGAAGCTGTGGTCACAGAAAAATGATTTCAGTTTTCAAAACATTGTGCGAACTGCTTCAATTCTGCATTTGATATCTTTACTTGGCTCTAGTTGGTCTGCAATATAGCGTCCCCAATATTTAAAGTTAGTAAATGTCTCAATGTTTTGTTGATCTATCTGTAGGGCAGTATTGTCGTGAGGTTAGCCACTGAAATCATAAATTTTGTCCTAGAAACATTCATTTTTAGACCCATCTCTCTTCCTGTCGCAATGCAACAACTCTTGAATGCCCTGGAGACTATCGCATAAAATATCAGTATCGCCGGCGTATCTAAGATTAAAAGTCAGTTCACCACTAATTTTCACTCTCAAAATCGTCATCTTGCAAAGCCTGTTTTTAAAAGTATATCCACATAGTTCTTAAATGACAACAGGGGTAAAGGCATTTCTATCTGACGCCTCTTTGAATGTAACATTTGCTGGTTCCAATATAAGTTTTCTATATTGGAACTATATTCCAATATAAGTTTTCTATAAGATTTTCCAAACATGGAGTTTAGAATAGTCTCTCAAAATCAAATAAAGTTTAATCACTTTTGTATGATAAATAGCATTTGTCGGCAAATGTTATTGATAATTTGTATGTTTACTGATAATATGCAAGACCATAATGCTATAGCAAATTATATTATAATATAATTATATTACATTCTAATTTTTAAAATCTTATATACTAAAACGCTAAGCCCTTTTCTTGTCCACCACTTTACTCAAAAACCATATTAGATAATTAAAATATTTTTTCGGAATATTATTAGTATTACGTATGAGATTGTCAAGATATACTTTTGGTACAAAAATTCACTTCCGGTTTTGAGATGACCGGAAGTTAAAATTTACTTTAAGTTTTAGACCCCACAATGTATATATGGATCGAAAGGTCTCGTCGAGACGAATCTAAATATGTACTTCCGGTTGCGATCCGACACCGGAAGTGACCCAAAACGCGCATAAAACGTCATGATAGAGCAAATCTGACACCGGATTCGTGATCAGCATGCAAAATTAACCACTAAATGCATTCCGGTTTTGAGGTCGACTTCCGGTTTCGTTTTTATTAAAAAGTAAAAAGTAAAAGTTTATATAACTCCCGGTGCCAAGCAAAAGTTTTCAGAAAATGGAGACATTGTAACAAAAAACATTGTTTTCGACGAAATATTTCTTGATATCTATTTTAATACACTTTTTACTTGAATTATTATTGATGAATATTATGTATATTCTTGCTTATATTGTTTGTATTGATCTCTTAATTTTTCTCGCAAAATAAAAATTTCATTTAAAAAACTCGATGTCGAGTTGGTCCGCTAGTATAAAACTAATAAGCTAAAAAAACTCTATGTAGTTAGTGTGAACAGAATACAATTGTTGTTTTATTACCATTAGGTCTACCGAAGGTCCTGTTAGTAGTCGGCGGCCAAGCTCCCAAAGCAATCCGCAGCGTCGAGAGTTACGACTTCAAAGAGGAAAGATGGTACCAAGTAGCTGAGATGCCCACTCGTCGATGTAGAGCTGGTTTAGCTGTTTTAGGCGGCAAAGTATACGCTGTCGGTGGTTTCAACGGTTCTCTTAGGGTGAAAACAGTGGACGTATATGATCCTGCGCTGGACGTATGGACAAGTTGCGAGAGCATGGAAGCTAGAAGATCTACCCTTGGTGTGTCTGTACTCAATAACTGCATCTATGCTGTGGGAGGATTTGACGGTTCTACAGGGTTAAATAGCGCCGAAATGTTTGATCCACAAACAGGTATATCTTTATTAAAAATCATAATTGTAATTGCTTGATTCTAAATGTTTTGTAGCGGTTGCATAATAAATAATTCGTGTAAAGTGATTAATTTTTACTTACAAATAATTCATCTTCGTGATAGTTATGTGATATACTGTATATAGAGTGTATCCAATTTTCTTTATTTAGTAGTTTAGCAGCATCTGTTAAATATATCAAATCAATGATAGTGTGTATTCTACAACAAAATATGTAGAGGAGCAATCATCATCATCAATTAGCCAATCGCGTCCACTGCTGGACATAGGCCTCCCTCAGTTCTTTCCAGTGTTCTCTACACTGGGCCGCTTGTAGCCAGTTTCTCGCTACACGTTTTATATCATCGGTCCATCTAGTCGGTGGTCGTCCTCGGCTTCTTTTATAGTTTCTGGGCCTCCATTCCATAATACGTCTTGTCCACCGTCCATCTTGTGTTCTGGCTAAGTGCCCTGCCCAGTTCCACTTAAGCGTCGTGGTTCTTTCGATGACGTCTTGAACTCCTGATCTTTGCCTGATTTGTTGGTTTGTTATGTGGTCTCGAAGGCTCACGTTCAGCATTGCACGTTCCATCGCTCGTTGTGTAACTCGAGTTTATTCGCAGATTTTTGCGTGAGTGTTAAAGTCTCTGCTCCATAAGTTTGTACAGGTAAAACACATTGGTTATAAACCTTTCGCTTGAGACACATGAGAATTGAGCTTTTGAGAATATGGCTTAATTTACCAAATGCTGCCCATGTTAGGCCTATTCGCCTCTGTATTTCATGTGTTTGATTGTCTCTGCTTATTTTGATTTCGTGTCCCAAATATTTGTAAGTGTCTGTTTGTTGTATGGTATTATTGTCAATAGTTATTTCCACTCATTATGAGATTTGTTATAAGTTTAGTTTTCTCAAAGTTTGTCTTTAATCCTGCTCTTTCAGACAGTTTATTCGCAGATTTTTGCGTGAGTGTTAAAGTCTCTGCTCCATAAGTTTGTACAGGTAAAACACATTGGTTATAAACCTTTCGCTTGAGACACATGAGAATTGAGCTTTTGAGAATATGGCTTAATTTGCCAAATGCTGCCCATGTTAGGCCTATTCGCCTCTGTATTTCATGTGTTTGATTGTCTCTGCTTATTTTGATTTCGTGTCCCAAATATTTGTAAGTGTCTGTTTGTTGTATGGTATTATTGTCAATAGTTATATTTTCACTCATTACGAGATTTGTTATAAGTTTAGTTTTCTCAAAGTGTTTATCTTTAATCCTGCTCTTTCAGACAGACTTTTAAGCGAATTCATCATAGAAACTGTATCATGTAAGTTATTTGCGATTAATACAACGTCATCTGCAAATCTTAGGTGATTTAATCTTTCTCCATCTATATTGATGCCCATATCTTGTCATTGAGTGCTCTTAAATATTGACTCTAGAGCTGCCGTGAACAATTTTGATGAAATATTGTCTCCTTGTCTAACTCCTCGACCTAAGCTGAATTTTTCTGTGTCTTCGTGTAGTCCTATACTTGATGTAGCGTTCTCGTAGATGTTTTTGATTAGTGTCGTGTACCTGTAATGTATTCGGCTTTGATTTAGGGCTTCCAGTATTGTTTTAAACTCTACAGAATCAAAAACCTTCTCGTAATCGACAAATCGCAAGAACCAGTGGTATGTTGTACTCATGCACTTTTCTATTAAGATCATTATGATATGCAAATGGTCATTTATGCCATATCCTGCCCTGAAGCCTGCCTGTTCTTTGGGCTGATAGAAATCAAGCCTCTTTGTTAAGATTTTCATAAAGAGTTTGTACATATGTGTCAAGAGGCTGATGGGTCTATAATTTTCTAATTTAGTAATATCACCTTTTTTGTGTAACAAAACTATTACTGCATTTTTGAAATCGTACGCGCATGTAAGCATTTATTAAACGCTTACTGATTTTAATAAAATTTCTCCTGCTTTTATTGCCTCGATAACGAGTCCATCATCACCAGGCGATCGATGGTTCTTCATTTCCTTTAAAGCTGCTCTTACTTCTGACACAGTAATAAGTAAAAGTATTTTCGATCCCTGATTTTTGAGAGTCTTTACTCGTGTCGGGAAATTGTCTTGTGGTCTTTGGCTGGTATAGAGGTTTTTATAAAACTCTCTGGCTATTTTCAGAATGTTTTGTTTATCTGTTGTTGCCTTTCCGTCTTTATCTCTCAGCTTGTATATTTTTTTTTACTTTGTGTGAGTTTTCTTTTCATTATCTTTAAACCTTTGTACTCTTCTACTGTTTGAGTAATTACATTAGTATTATATCTTCTTACATCTTTTCTAATTTCCGCTGAAATTCTTTTATTTAGTTTTTTATACTCTTCTTTGTTTCCCTTTTTGTTTTCGCTTAGGTTTCGTCGTATTTCCATGAGAGCTTTTGTATTTTTGCAAATCTTTTCACTTTTGGTGTCATTTTTCTTGTAAAATTTGAGTTGTGCGTTTCTAACCGAGTCTGTTATTAATTTATTGTGATCGTCGATACTTAGAGGTTTGGGATTATTACTCTGTAAAGTTTGGGAAATTGGTAGGATAGTAGGTATTGGGTAGGAATGGGGTTAGGACATGATTTCTCTCCACAGGAGTTGAGAGAGAATCAAGGCTCGCGTAGGGCAGGATCGCATCCCTGAAGTAAGTCTATCTTCCACTGGGATTGTGGAAGAGTACCTACCTGCTACCACCAGAGGAACAATGGAAAATATTATTTCGAAGAACAGAAGTTAAGTTATAGGTCCTGCTTTCTTCAAAGGGAAAATATCCTAGAAAACAGCATTTTTTTATAGATATGTTGTTACGAAAAAACAAAAGCGCATTCTTGTTTTAAAATTTACTTTCAAACTTACCGTAACAAATTTTCCAATCTTCGTGTAGTATTTGATTTGTTACGTATCACTGTATCACTTTTTTCCTTGGTTGCTTCAATTTCCAGACCGACTTTAGAAAAATTCAGTTCATAATATAAGTGTTTTTTCTCATTTTCTATTAAATCATGTGCAATATGCTTGGTCAATATTTAGTATTATTTTGTTTTTAGGCAAATGGCGCATAATATCTTCGATGTCGACTCGTCGTAGCAGCGTAGGTGTAGGTGTTCTTTATGGCCAACTATACGCCGTCGGTGGTTACGACGGCGCTTCTAGACAGTGCTTAAGTTCAGTTGAATGCTATACTCCAGAGACTGACACTTGGACTATGGTACCTGATATGTGCTGTAGAAGAAGTGGGGCTGGCGTAGGTAAGAGAGTAAATAAAAATATGATCCTGAAAAAGTTTTTAATATATTAATGATGCGTATATTTTGTACGTGATTTATTTTGTCATTTACTGTTGTAAATGGCATACCGAAAATTACAGAGGACTTTCAAACAAATAAAGATCACAACTATAAAATCGTAAAAAATGTTTTTGACATTGTGTTGTGTAACTCCACTCCTGTCACATTTTTTAAGATTGGAATATTGAACGGTAGCTTCCCTAGGATGGTAAAGATCGTTATGTAAACTGAACATTACCCACAAGAAATTTTAACAACATTTTCACTAAAACACTGTTATCGATGTTAATAGGCCCAATCAAATTGAATGCTTAAAGGAACTTACATAGAACTGGAAACAAGAAATGCAAATTGGGAGCAAGATGTTATGTTTTGTAGTACTAGATGTGTTAGAACAGATGGGATTTTATCTAAATCACTACACACTCGGAAATATTATTGAATTTAATCGTTTTTTTATTGACTATAAATGAACTTAAATTTAACAGGGGTGGAAAGAAAATAAAGAGGTTTTATGTGTGTGTATTAAGTTTGAAAGTTTGAACTTGAATGTCTGGTTTGGTAACTGTTTCAATATAGTCCCTACGAAAGGCGGGAGTAGTTAAAAAAGCATATGAGCAACACTGACGCGCTCGTGTTTTAGATATAATTAGCGTAAACCTAGGTCCCCCTTGAAACCATCGCAATTCAATAGGTTCGTTACAGGGAAGTCACCAAAAACAGTAAATCCTTGTTAACTAGTTGTAAAAAAGGAGGTAAAATAGCTAAAAAAGTAAAGTCAATAAAATTAAAATAGGTGCTTTTAAAGGTGCTGGAAGTAGTCTTCACGGTCACTGAATGGATAACGCCGTCCTTGCCATGATCGTTCTCGATGATGCGTCTGAGTTTCTGTTTTAAAGGACCATCTTCTTTGACCAGAACCAAAGTTTCGATCTCCTAGGTTTTTTTAAAGTTCTCTTTCCGCTTCACTCGTTGTTGTAAAGTAGAGATGTACTCTTTGGAGGACCTGATCCAAAAATGTCGACTTAGTTGATAAATTCGTTCATAACGAGAAAGTCTGTTTTCCTTGATGTTGCAGTAGTCGATTTGGTAAGGAGTTGACGTAAAGATGTCTCCAATAAGGAAATGTGCAGGTGTCAAGGCAGTAGGATCAGAGGAAAGAGGACAAATGGGTCTTGAATTTAAACATGCTTCAACTTAATACAGACACGTAGTAAAATCTTCGTAAGTAAGAGGCATCGCGGACCACCCGTTTAAGGTGGTGTTTTACGGAGTTTATTCCCGTTTCCCATAATCCACCTTGATGTGGAGCTCTAGTAATTATAAAATTCCATTGTGTTCCCATCACTGGCTAAATCAGTTTCGTTATTGCGTTATATAGTCGTTACAAGTTGGGTATTTAAACTTGTTTTTTGCAGCAACAAATGTGCTTTGATTATCAGAATATAATTTTGCACACTTACCTCGTATAGACATAAAACGACGTAAGTCTGCTAAGAAACAATCAGTATTTATTTAAGTCGCTTACAACGTCCAAATCCAACGTCCTTAGATGCAAAGCAAACAAATAATTAAATGTATGCTTTGTTGAATTTTGAAATTCCTGTCCGTCGTTTCACGAAGAAATAAAAGTTCAGCGTAGTCAACGCCGAAAGTAGAGAAAGGCCTAGAAGGAGCTAAGCGTGAAAGGTGAAGATTTCTATTGAGAGGAGATTTGTTTCTTCAA